GGGGGGGGGGGGGGCTGAGGGGAGTGTTTGGGGTACACATGGTACATGTGAGGTCCGTCACAAAGGGTGAGCGTGATGTCATCGTATCTTGTCTGATTTGGGCTTGGTGAGAGTTGAAAGGATTTGTCCAAATAACTCACGGTCTCAATTTAAAAGCCATACAAAGCTCAAATAGACATTTCAAAAAACTATTTGGGAAAATAAATGTCAGACCTCAAAAAAAAAAAAAAAAAAATTCATTCACCGGAGTTGTCCACCTCCAGACCGATACGGACAATATTTAATATATATCAAAAAAAAAAAAGAATAAAGACCTCCTCCCAAATAAAAGCACATCGTCTCGAATGGCATCTTGTTCTTTCAGTCAGCGGACAAAAGCATGTCCGTCAACGGATAGCAGTATGTCAAATTCCGTCCACGCACACAATATGTCTTCAAATTTAAGCCTCAACTCAAATAAGAGACTATTTTCAAATAGTAAACACAGATCAGAGGTTTTGGTCACCAAAATATTCATTGACAAAAACGCAAGATCCGACAAAGTACAACGAAGGTCGCCGGTAACAAAGAACCAACAACAACAAACAAAAAGCACTTGCAAGAGGCAAGGGTCGATACAAACGAAAATTGCTTGTCAACTCAAAGGACAAGAAAATACAATAAACGACAAACAAAAACCAAGAATACATAACAAAGAAAATACCAGAACAAAAATACTATTCGCTAAGGAGGATACAACCAGATCGCAAAGGGTATCTTTTTTTAGAATGCACTTGTATGAGCTTGACAAATTTAACAGTTGAGTCATTTGACATTATTTTTGTCTTATCATAGAGTCAACGTCCACTTCTGTGACGGTAATTTAACAGTCGAGTAGTTTTACTTGATTTTAGTTTTATGTTACAGTGATATATTATTTATCCTTACACTTGTACAACAGTTATTAATTTGATCAGCCATGTCGATATTCGTATTCACATATTTATTTCTTCTACCATTTCTCACACAATTGTTAGTTTCTCTTTTTAATTGTATCATGTCATGTAGAGCTGTGTAGTGATTTTGGAGTTTGGGCACAGGAAGAGAGGAAGGGGTCGGGAGTGTGGGTGGGCTGTGGGGTTGTTGGGACGGGAGACGGGGGGGGGGGCGGCGCTGGGCTTCTCTCTGGCAGACGAACGGTGGCCCCCGGCACACAAGCGCTTTCGTGCTCGCGCTACTCCAACTCCACTCAGTTGACCCAATTCCTGTAAAGATAGTAAAAAAAAGGGGGGGAGGGGGGCAGTCATGTCACCTGATCATCACATGTTCACAGCTGTGATCAATAGATAAATTGTTTTACTGCACAGTGACGAATCGCAGTCGATGAATGACAGAGCTGCTGCTGAAAATTTTCAACAGAGGGGTGGATTAACCCCCCCCCCCGCTCTAGGCAATATAGTCACGGGCTTTACGCCTTATTCTGATTGTAACATTGACCGAACACAATCATTTTTACTGTTTAAATGAGCAACTTATCTTTTCAGACACACTTCCACCCCCAAACATGGGTTTAAATTCCTCTCAGAAATACAGTACTGTATATTTTATAAATTAACGATTTATCACTTTGGGTGTTCTCAGAGTTATCTACAACGTATAAATACTGCATAAATATATTGTATTTATAAGAACTTTTATCCACTTTTCATTACAGTCCCACAAGAAATAAACGATGACGTGGTCGTTTCGTTTGGATGCTACTAGGGGGCGACCAAACAAAAACTTCCAATATCCCCTGAAGTGTCTACGAGAAGAAGAAAAAAGCAGAAGAACAAAAAGAAGATTGAACTACTTCCTGTTCCGGGTTGCTAGACAACGACGTTGTGTGAACGGTTTCAGCCGCGCGCCCCAACTCAAAGTTGTGGAGAAAACTTCGAGCTTCGTGGTGTGAGAAACGTCTCGAAGCTTAACCGAGCCGTCTTACTTTCACCACGCCGCTGTCCTCATACCTGATCAGGAAACAAGGAAGACTTTGTGAGGTAACCAAGCGGCTCATTTTACGTCCCGTGTTCCACTGTGTGCTAACACTGCTAATGTTAGCATTTAGCCAGCCAGCCACTTTTCGCGGGTCGGTTGACTTGACAGCGTTTTCAGTCAATCAAGATAGACTCATTTTTATTAGACTGTCATCTTCACATATTAACCACGCGGCTGCAGTTTTCCCAGTGTCTAAACTGTGTCAATTGCTTGCGGAACGGTAAAAGTACTACTGAATACCGCTGTTTTTTTTTTTTGTGTATGACCTAATG